TCCATTCCCTTTTCAGAAACAGATTTCAATAATTCGTAAAAAATCGACATTTTATCTTGATTTATCTTGATTACTTATACGAAGAAAAATATTCAGTCAAAAATAATTCTCAAAACATTCTGAAATTTTATCTAAGAATCCAAATCGAGAAATCTGACACGTATTCATTACGCAACCTTGTGGTAACCCGGTGGCAATGTTCGGACAATATTGTGGCAATGTTGTGGCAACGTTGATGCAATAATTGTCGGTCTAGTTCATCTCTGGATATAAAAATGGGTTATTTGATATTTTTCATCATTTCATTGTTTACTCCTTTAGTGTTCACCTCAGAATGCCACAAAAGCCATGCCAGAAGACGCATTGTATCACTGATAATAAAGGAATTAACCTTTTATGTCACACTAATATTTCACGTTATTCCTCCCCGCGAGAATGATCTATTTATAATACCACCAAGTCTACGGGCGGGCACTACCTTTATCGGAATACATACACCTATTCGGCCGCTTCATTTACATACGTATGTACAGGTAGATACCACGGGAACTGGATGGATAATCCTGTTTACATATTTATTGTACCTCCACTATCGCTACGAAAAGACTGGAGAGTACATCTCTATTCTCCACGGAGCTCTGATTCTCAAAGTTTTGATTACGAATTCAGACTGCATTTTTAGGAAGAAATTGAAAATTTCTTTAAGAGAAATCATAAAATTTTCAATCACTTGCCAAATGATGGCTTACATCAGAAACTTTTTGGGGAAAATTCTACTGGTAACCTCAAAATATATAATTCGTGAGTTACGTCGAGTTGAATGAATGAATAAAATGGAGGAGGTGAAAAAAAAAATAGTTTGTTAACTGAGGGAATATTTATCGGTAAAAAGTGTCACGTTCTCCATGAAAATTTCTCGCCCATCGCTGAGACAAATCCTTACCGAATAAATCGGCACAGCCCGACGTCAATCAATCTGACATTAAATGTCAATGGAAGACATTTTCCCGAGTTAGGTCGACCATAAAGATGAAAATATTCCCTCCAGAATTTCTGTCGTTGACGCTTTCCAGAGGTAATCGACGTTCCCAGGAGTGCGAGAGAAGTTGAGATTGCATTATGCACCGAGTGAGCGCCTGCTGGATGCAACGACGCAGTGAATTGAAGGAAAGGAAAGAAGTGTGGTTGTGCATTAGTATGAAACTGAGTTTAGAAAAAAAAAATGATAGTCTACTCGAATTTCCCACTGCGTGATACCCGCGGGTGGGGCGGGGGAAGAGGGGAGAGGGCAAATGAAAAAAAGTACAATCGCTGGAAACATGGGGAAATAAAAAGACATGACGCGTGCAGACGTGGGGAGAATAATTGTAATGGAATTTTCTGTACTTTGGTGATGGCCCGGATGAGAAAAAATATTGAAAAATGAAAGACGCCGGGAAAAATTCAAGACATGAGGGACTTGATATAGTTGAGTGGTCCTCACGTTTTTTTCCTCGTCTGTCTTGTCGGTCTTTGTCATTTTCAGGTCAACGTTTTATGAAACTTTGAGAAGAATTGAAATTTAGTGATGGGTGTACTATTATTTCTGGGTAGGCGACATTAAATTTCAATGATCGAGAAAATTATATATTTACCGTATTTTTAATTGTGAATGAGAGCTCTGGGGTTATTTCGGCTTTTTACTTTAGATTTTCATTAAAATGTGGATATTGAAATGATAAATTAATTTCGAAAGGAAAATTTCGGGATTGAGATTGCCAATGACAATTTCAAAGACAAATTTTTTTTTTTTTGGAGGGGGGAAACCTCATTTCTTTTCTCAGGTACTATCTAGTTTTAATACCCCAACCCCTGTCTCTACCCCTGTCTCTACCCCTGTCTTCACGTGAGCCCTCTTCGAAACAAAGTACTTCTTTCCAACCACGTCCACAGGTTGAGGAAACACTCTAACCCGAAGTGCAGGGATTTCCAATTAAATATTCTCCTCACGCAGTTTGCCAGTGTCGAGGAGTTAACGGTCAGAGTCTTGTGGCACGTAAGCCATTGCACAATGACCCCAGAACGAGAGCTTCAGGGGAAATGAAAAAGGAAAATGAATATAAAAAAAAAAAAACACAGGACGAATTGCGAGAATCAATGAAGAAACAAACGGTGAAAATTCCGGACAAAAGTACGGAAATAATTGGCACCAATTCACCTACTGTCGGGTTTATTCGGATTTTATTTCAATGGGAAAATCCCGTGATTTTTTGTAATGAAAATTGATGAAATACTGTCATGCAGTTGGACGGGCATTTTATCCGTTTGATTGATTTTCCAGCGAGATTTTATCATGGAGGTATCATTTGATATTCCAGGATTTACTCCGATCGAAAGAAAACTCGTTACTAATTTCCGGCTGGTGAATACTTCAGAGCTCGATGTGACACTTCACTCGGAAAATAGGAAAAACTGTCAACTTCTCCTTCTTCCGACATCGACATTACCCTTGACGGCGAGAATATTTTATATTCGTTCAATTTTCATGGATTTTTATTAAAGAATCATGATTTATTGTTAATTAATATTGAAAAAAGGAAATCTCACCATGAAAATCTCAATTTTTTCTCTTAACTAAAACAATTAATTATCAATGTTAATCAAAATTCATTAACAAACTATGAAAATTTTATTTTCGGGATTAAACAATCGTAATATATGGATTATTAACGACGATGTAATTAATACCAATGCTGAATGTGTAAATAATTGAATGAATATTCAACGGCATTTATTTGATTCCCCCGATTCAGTTCGACACCCGGTGGCAGTTCTCCCTGAAACCAGCTCTATGAAAATATTTAACTTTCATTCGGGAAAACCCGAGAATCCAAAACAAATTCGATAACGAGAGATAATCGATCGCTCCGTGTTTGCAATTGGTCATTGATGAATATTTGTCTTGAAATCCGGAAAAATAGTATCCATGCTCATAACGAAATGAAAATAACCACAGAAATTGATATTTAAATAAAAAAATATTCTCCAATAAAATAATAATAATGATAATCATGATAACTTGTAATAATCCACATGACTTCAGAATATTTACGCACCAGAATAAATCTCTCGTGAAATAAAATCTAAATTCACGAACATAATTTAATAATAATCTTATTAATTACAATAATTGTTTATTTGTTAAAATCAGTAGCAAAAACCGATGATTTTCCATAATTATCAAAAAAAATTGAAGGAATTCGCTGAAAATGAAATGTCACACCTGCGGTAATCACGCGGAAAAATCGCGTGATTCGACTGTGATTCCCCTAATTAATTAACCGAGAGGATCATAAATATTTCTAACAAACTCCTCAACTACAGAGAAGAGAATAACACGTGGAATTTCCACAGAGGCTAACGCCACTGTAGATTTATTCAAATTCTCCCGTCTGACTACTCCCGGATTTCACTACTGGATTCCTCGTGTAATTGTGATATAAATATCCCCTCCCGGCCCCTCGTTGCATAAAAAAAAATATATTCCGTGTACTCCCGTTCTCTCGTTTTAATGGTTGAGTAAAGGGGTCGAGTAGACAGGGTTAAGCGAGTATTGAATTTGTGGGTGCACCCAGTGACCCCTGCAACGCCTAATTAACACGAAACAACGAGGGTCCAGTAGAATTGTGTTCACGTGGCCAAATCAACTGTACACCACCAACCGAGTCCATTGTAAACTCTATGAAATAGCCTCGTAGGCACTACCCAAAATCCATGCTCCACAGACTTCCTAAGCGTTAATTGATGTTAACGTACAGAGAAATGTTATTACACTAGAAATTGAGCTATCCCCTAAAAATCCTTTTTTTCTCATAATTTTCCCTCAAAAATTCTTCCATTTAATTGTACTTCAATCATCAACCGAAAAATCAATCTCATACTTATGAATAATAAAAATAATAATATAAATAATAATATAAATAATTAATTATTAATAACAATTTTCACTTTATTTTCCATAAATTTCATTAATTAACAGATGAATTAAATTCTCTGATCCAAGATTTTTTTTTTAATTTCGCAAATCCGATATTTGTAGTGGAAAATGGATTTCCCTCAATTCACCGACAAATATCCAATAATTGTGTTTACCATGGACGCTTAACTAACAAAAGACTCAACAATTAAATCCCCACTTTGTCAGCGTTCGCGTCCTAAAGAGCTGCGGTGATACAAAATCTGAAAAACGTCTCCCATCGTTAAATAAAATATCATTGTATGCGTAAAAGTGAATGAATTGCTTTAGGAAAAAAAAATCAATGACAAAAATGGTGAAGCAATGTAGATTCAAACGGTATTTGCTCAATTCCATCAATTTCCATGCGCCTACCACCAGTTGGAGAGCATTTCCAGTGAAAATACCGATTCTATGAAAATCTCCGGTACCATTGAATTTAATAAAACGTTCGCCATACTCAACTCTAATTCCACCGACCAAAGTAAATGAAAAAAAAAATGCCTGAATCTATTAACTATGGTAGCACAAGTAGAGCTGTGCATTTTCAACTTCAATTTCGGTTGAGAATCCTTGGCGCTATATATTCAAGGAATTACCAGATTGTTCGACGTATAAAACTCGATTTAACCCGTGCACGACTATCAAATTGTCTCGCAACGGTAGATGGAGAGAGAAAAATGGAGAGAGAGAGAGAGGGAGAGAGAGAGAGAGCACTCTCGACGGTGATATGATAATTTTACCCCCTAAAGTTGAGTTAACGAAGCTCCTCTGGCAACGCATGTTGGGAATTAAATGAGTAACAGAGAGAGATGAAATACTCACGCTATTTTCTCCTCCGCTAATCTCCCCTTCCACCATTTTCCCCTAGAATTTTTACCCTGGTACCCTCAATAGAATTTATCACGAGTCCTCTTTCCCCTGCCTGATAAAATCTAAAATCCTGTTTTGAGACTTCAGCTTAAATGAAAATATTTCCAAGTGCTTGTTAATATTAACATTGCAGATAATCGATGGCAACACAAAAAGTGCAGTGAGCAATCGTAAAGAGCCAGGAACATTCTGCGGTGAATCCGAGCAGCCCCAGACATTCATATCAGAGACAAGTTTTGTCCGTGTATTATTCCACGCCGACAATTTCACCGATCAAACGTACTTCAGCTTTGACTCGCGAGCAGAACAGCCATTCGAAGTTTACCTGCGTTACGGCCAGCACCCGGAGCTCTACCCAAATCGTCGTGGTGAAGTTGTGCCAGGTAGTTACTGCGAGCGTGATTTCAAGGACTGTCGTCTCCAGACATGTTACGTACAGAGTCCAGCCTATCCTGGTATATATCCACGAGCCCTGCACTGCAAATATCGTTTAAACACACGCCAGCCATTCATAAAACTCTACATAGAGAACGAGGAGTTCAACATCGATGGACAACGCTGTGAGAATATAATGACATGCCCAATGAGACCAATAAGCTCGGGCTCTCAACACTGTCCCTACGATTACATACGAGTTTACGATGGCAAAGACGAAGGCTCACCAGTTATCGGTACATTCTGCGGTATGGGAAAATTTCCATACAGCATAATCGGTACGAGTGCCGATCTGTACGTTGAATTTGTATCATCACCAGCGGGACCACTTCTAAACACTGGCTTTCACTTCAACGTTGGCAATTGGCCAGCTCACGTTGAAACAGCTGGTGTTAAAAATGGCTCGTGCGATTGGCTGCTCAACAGTGAATCCCTCGTTGCTAATGACGAGGGTATATTTCTATCGGTTGCCCATTGGTATCCACCCCACACAAGCTGCACCTATCTGCTCAAGGGTAGACCCGGTGAAATAGCACGATTGTATTTTCCAAGCTTTCGGGTCAATCGAATTGAATCACCTATTTTGCCTTATGATGGCGATTGCGGTGAGAGTCTCACCCTTTACGACGCCAATTGGCCGGATGATGCCAGAATAATAAAGACATTCTGCGATACATTCAGCAAACCAATGGAGAAACATGATTTTGTCTCGACATCCAACTCAATGTTCGTTAGATTTGAGAGTAAGACGGGTAGTTACTCGGGTAGTTCGCTTTATTATTGGGCTCATTACGATTTCTTCAATGCAACAAGATTTGGTGAGCCAGTGCCAAATACCGAGTGCGACGAGACATTTGCATCTTGGAAGGTACAGTCCGGTAAAATGCGATCACCTTTGAATACACTATTGTACAAACGTCCAGGTGATCCACCCAATGATCTCATATGCACATACACATTCATCACGGACAAGCGATTGTTTGCCCGTATAATTGTGACTATTGAGTCAGTTACCTTCAAAGACAATCCGTACAGCCAGTGCGGCCACTGTTGGGACAGTCGTGCCGATCGTATTATTGTCCGTGAACCATCACCCGAGTCCACCAAGGGTCACTGTCTCTGCCGATTAACACCACCGAAGGCACCCCTCAAGATCGTATCGCGGAGTGATAGACTCGAATTGAAATTGATGATTGATGGTGGTCATGCTACAAGCAGTTACTTCAAGCAGTCGTCATCGCTCTTCAAAGCAACCTATGAGTTTGTACATAGTCCACTGTGTGGTCCAGCCTTGCTACCACCATCAACCGATGGTGAAATTGAATTTCCCAATTATGAAGCACTCGGTTATGTAACACCACCGCGCTCCATAAAGTGTATATGGGAGCTGCGGGTTAATCCAGATAAGGATTTGTGGTTGCACTTTGATAAGATTAAGTTTGCGTCGAGATCGTGCGAGGATGGCAAGCTTGAGATATTTCTTGGTGGTATTGTTGAGCCATATCTGGCAATATGCGGTGAGAATGTCAGCTATGTCAGGGAGATGCCCATATTTTCGGCTATTCAGTTGGGCCAGCCAAAAATTGCCGATGGCGAACCACCACCAGTTGTTATATTATTCACCGGTTCAATGGCACCTGCCCGTGTTGCCTTTAAGATTGCATGGACTGAATTATTTAGATTACCTCGGGATGCTACTGGACAATTAAAAACACAGAAACTCGAAGGATGTGGTTACCAGTGTCCTGGCAATACTGGATGTATACCATTGTATCTTGTGTGCAATGGAGTTGTTAATTGTCCAACGGTGAATTTACCAACGGGTGGCTACAATGTCAGTCTTGTGGAGCCTGATGATGAGTCCATTGAGACATGCGGTGGACCTGTAGCTGGTGGAAGTGGTGCTATGGGGGGTCCTGCTGGATGGGCGGGTGCTGGTCTTGGTGCTGGTTTAGCTATTATGCTTGGTCTTGCTTGTCTTGTTGCTGTTTGTCGGGTCTGCAGGCGGAGAACTACATCAAGGGACATTCATGTACCCTATTAGTCCGAGATTAATCTTTAATTGTTATCTGTCCTCCATTTTATGTACCCAAATTACTCTAATTATTTCATTTGTTATATTTTCCACTGTTACGGACGTAAATGGTTGTGAATGACGAATCATGAAATTGTCTCAAATCAATTGTTATGCAATCAATTTTATTCTTACGAGATAATATTTAACAAATTGTTCAATTCGTTATTATTTTGGTGTCTCATATTTTTTTCGTTGGCAAATTTATTTGTCGATAATTTTTTATGATATTAGCGAGTCAGTGATTGGATATACGTGATTATGTCTGGATTCAGGGAAGAATTAAAAATAAATATAGATCGGAATTGTTATCCAGATTGAGTATCGAATTCATTAGGTCGGATTGACGCACATCAATAAATCAGAAGTCCCTCTCAAATGCATCGGAAAGTGCGAGAAATACATAGAGATGAGACGGAATGCGACAACTCTTGAATATTAACGAGTGTCATTAAACCACGGATTCCATCTCAATCTCATATTTATTCACTGACTTGTAAATATAATCAATCGGGTAGAGAAATTTTTTTTTCTCAGCGTTATCGGGTGTACATATCGTGCAGTTATGTTTGTCAAATTTTCCAATACATCTGGAATTATAAATTGAATGGGCATTTGATGGGGAAAATAATTCAGCGATAAATTCCCGATACCCAAAAATCCATTCAAATAATCCATTACCTAGATCGGTGAGAATTCCGTAACAAATGCCCGCGTAGAAATTCATTATAACAGGTATAATTAAATTCCACAGTTGATGAAGGAATATCCGATAAGACAGGATGAAGTTTCCGACATTTGCTTGGGCGTTATTCCGCGCACATTGTTGACCCAATTTTCACATTCAACGTGGCGGACTGAGACAATAACTCTTCCGCCGAATTTCATAATCCAGTTAAAAAGTCATTTAATAGAACGACTATTAAAATATTGAAATTGATGGGAGAAGAGGACGAATGACTCTTTGTAAATAAATTCCCCATGCCACCCCTGCCACCCCTACCTCCTCTACCTCCCCTACCTCCTCTACCTCCCCTACCTCCTCCAGAACCCCTCATCCTCCCCATCCCCCCCACCCCCCTCATCCCCCCCCGTTAAAGTACATGGAGAGATAAAACTACTTTCGATAAAGAAGATTAACTCGAGGAGTTGTCGCTCTAAAGAACACAGTGTAAAAATATTATATCACAATATCACAGTTTTTAATATTGATGGTCAAAATATAATAATCTTTTGTATCGGATTTAATCTGTGGAATTCTGGATGACTCTGGATGACTCTGGATGACTCTGGATTACTCTGAATCACATATTTTGATTTTGTGTTATCATTATCTCATGATATTTTAAATTGTGCAATTACTGGATTTTTTTTTATCGTGATGTTAATTAGAGTGTCAGTCAGATCTTCTCAACACCGATAAGTTTTATCTCTCACTGTCAAAATTATTTACCATTAGTTTTCGAGACCGAAGATATTGCGATTAATCCTTGACTTAGTTTAGGTTTCAGCCGTATATCGACGCAATTACCACTGTAATTACTACTGTACCAATGATTATTATATTTTTTACAAATAAAGACGATGGAAATAAATATATCTGTTGAATTTATCTCCGGAGATCCATCCCTGTCAATTGAAATCTCGAAAGCAATTGTCAACAGCCGCAAATGAAAAATCCTCAGTAATATCACAGGAGCAGGAAAAAAAAATATTTTAATATCCCCCTTATCTCCTCGAATTTCCCAAGTTTCAGTTCATGATATATCGAAAAGTTTTGAACAGTCCTCACAGCCGAAGTAACTTATCCCCAGGAGCTAATGTCATTTCGCCGTCCGAATATCTACCCCCTGGTCCTCCAAACTTTGACAATAGAATGTCGACATTAACAAAAGGAGATTCCCCCGAAGAGGATAGTAAAGGTACCCCAGTTGGGTTACTATTCAATTGTCTTCAAGTTTAACGCGTAACTTCAAGTGAGTGCATTTTCCACTCGAAGATGATCCATTGATTTTCGAAGGCAATTCTCTGCCCTGATATTACCAACTTTAAAGTTATTTAATACTCCCACCCCTCGAGACATTTCCATGAGTTTCATTGAATTAATCCAGAAGAATGTTTGAACTTCTCCAACCGGTCAAGTGTCTTCTGTCTCCGGAGCCGATTATCATCGATAATATCGTCTTCAGGTTACACTCGAGGGTGACTGTTGTCATTCTCGTCACGTGCACAATCATTATCTCAGCGAAACAGTACGTGGGAGAACCCATATCGTGTATAACTGACGCATCAATTGGTGAGTAGTCGAAATCACTGAAAAATTTTACAAATGGGGTTAAGCCTCCCCAGTCAATTCGCATTTTTAATGGGTGGAGTCAATTAAACTTGATTTTTCTTTTCAATTCAACTTTGAATTCAACAAAATCCACTTGATTCCATTATTAGAATCAAATCTATTCAAATCAAATGTAAAACTTAATTAATACGATTTTTTATTTAAAAATTTGGTTTGATAATGAAAATGGTGCGATTATTTGGAGTCAAGTCATTTCTACTTGTCGTACGAGAAATTTAATAAAAAAAAAATATGAGAACATTGATTTATCCTGTGGTAAAAGCCACATCGACCAGCCACTCACTCACCGGACGCATCAATCGGCAAAGCACTTGGAAATTATGCAACAGTGCTTTTGTACCCCGAGACTTAGGAAGGGATTTTCTACCCATTCAACAAAAACACGAAAACGGCATCTGAATAGAGTTAGGGGGTTAAGCCTCTCCGGTTTGTAGGAGACTTAATCTCCCCACCGGATATTCCTGCTTGTGGCATTAACTCGTTTTACGGTGAAATGCCAGAATGAAAACTACATGACCATCATTTTTTTTCGGATCACTCAGACTGTAGGAAAATAAAGCCTTCAGCTCCTGCATAAGTCCTCACACTCTGAATCCATCAGACAATTTTCTATGGAATAATTCGAGGCAGTAATTAGAGCAGTCTCATAACTTGGATATGAAGACATCATTTCGGGAATCAATCCGACTTGATTCAAGGATTTTTTGGTGATTTGATTGTTATTTTGTGATTGTCGTTGGTCAATGACATGCCAATCGTCAATTTGATAATTATTTAGAATTGACACTCGTTTTTGGAGAAATTCTGTATTGGCAGGATTCGGTGTTAAACTTTTTGGTGAAGTAACTGCGGGCTTGAAAAGAGGATGAAGAGCCCCGGAGAAATTACGGAAAGCTATTAAAAGTTATTGGGTTAACTGCTGGAAGAAGTTTCATATTAAAGAAAGACGGCGATGGGTAAGTTGTTTCACGTCAAGTTTGCAAACTGGAGAGGGGTGTCAGTCAAAATGAATTCTGAGTTCACGAACACGTACGGAAGAATTTCACAAAGAACAAGAGCTTGCGCATCTGTTGAGATATTTTATCGGGGAAAATAAAAGATTTTAATCTCGCTCAATCCGATCCTGACATTTTTTTTCCACCGCCTAAATTGTCCGCCAAGAAAAAAACCTTAACGACAAAAAAAAAGCCATTTAATTTCTTAAAATTTTAATCTCAATTAGAAATTTCTGGAAACCGCTAAATTGAGACTTTCAGAATGATAAACAATTATTGATTCAATGATTATCGTCTTGTGAAATTAATAACTCGAATTCAATGAACACTTTCTTGGGTTAACACTTTCTTGGGTGCAAGTAACTCGGAATGTTTTTAAATAATCAAGTGTTTATTTGTCATTAAATCAGATAAGGAGCCGGTTAATGCGTACTGCTGGATATACAGTACATTTACGGTATCAAGACACTTGAGAGGTATTCCAGGACGTCAAGTTGCAAGTCCCGGTGTTGGTCCAGCACTCGAGAACGACGAGATTCACCATCACCGGTATTACCAATGGGTCAGCATTATCATCCTTATCACACAATTACCCCAGGGTTTTTCGATTCATAAAAAATAATCGATCTGTCTCTTGAATTCTTCTGCGATTCTATTAAAAATCGGAGATAATTCAACAAAAATTTCACGCGGATCTCATCGAAATTCGAATCAAATCGGATTTTTATAACAGACGTCAAAAAATATCAAGAGTTACCCGATGTTTTCCGCCATTTTGTGCACCTCTCTGACAGTTAAAATGGCGGAAAAATAAATTCAATTGCATTATCATTGATTTTTAGAAAGTGGCGATCACGACGAAAAAAAAATCGAAAAATTTTTGATTTAAAATTGTTATTTATTGACCTCGTGATAAATTTGTGCAACAGGTCTGTTTCGTTCTCGGTATTCAAGCAATAATATTTTACACACCGAGAGGACTGTGGGGTGTCTGGGAACGTGGAACTGTATCACTTCTCATTCGTGATCTTACATCACCCTTTCTCGGAGATGTTTGGAGTCACGAGAGAAAACAACAGCTTGTCCAATACTTCGCATCGACACATTTACACACCCATAATTTTTATGCACTGTGTTATCTCTTCTGCGAGTCACTCAACGTTATCAATGCGGTACGTACCAATTCTCCAAAATAAAATTGATAAAAAATTTGTTTAAAATAATTGTGAAAATGTGGTGAACACGGATTTTTGTAGAATATAAAAATCGAGGGACTCGATCCTCTTGTGTATTTTTTGGCTGACAGCCATTATTGATATTATTAAAATTCAATTCTTGCTTTTTTTTTATTTAACTGCTCCTATTTGTTTTTTATGGTAAATACCCAGAAAAATGTGGAGTACTTTTTTTATCGAAATCTATTTCCGTGGAGGTTTCCCCCATTTACTATCTTTTACATTTATCTGTACGCCCGGAAAATGCGGAAAATTTGAAAGCGCGAATTTTGTAAAAAAAGGACTTTTAATTTTTCGTTTGAAATGTTGTTTACAGTTGGCAACAGACAGGAGAAAGCGATTAACAGAGATTGGGATGATTGGGAAATATAAAGCCCCTGGCAAATTTCCAATACATGGAAAATAACCCGTGGCAGTAGAATAAATTTCACTGTTGATTTTATATCTAGTTTTTTTTTATTAGAGTGGGGGGCAGTTCGTAATGAATTGTCGATTGAAATTGCACCCGCAATCATCTTATTGACATTTTCTCATGCGCGGAGAAAATTTTCACTCAAATTTTCATGAATCATGCGAGTCCAATCAATAAAATAAATTGAAGAACAATTTTTATTGCATATTAAAATCGAAAAACGCCAAGAATTTTCCCTAATTATTCTATTCCCTTTTAATCAAGTCAGTAAAATAGTTTTTCATATGATTAAAGAAATCTTTCCCAGAATTAATAATTTGGGAGAATTTTTCAAATGAAATTTTTTGTTTATTGTTATGAATAGAATAATTTAAATAAATTCATCCGTCATTTTATAGGAGATAAAAAATATTGCGTTATGAATTCTCAACTTTTCTCTTCATACCGTGAGAAATTATTGGTTGAATCTTCAATTCGTAAAGTTGTTGGTAAAATTTTTCGTCCATAGTTTTCTTTCCTCCGTCAGAAGCGCGTCAGTATCATTCAATTTATCAGTACCAAGAAGAAAATTTTAAAATAAGTGAAACTACGAAAAATAATCTCTCTAAAAAACTTTTCACCGAGAAAAGCATTCCCCCATAGTTTCAGCCAAATTCCGCTCCATTTTTCTCGCAGCGAGAAAAAATAACAGAAAACAAAACCTCTGCACTTTCTACTTTCATTTTCCCCCATTTTGTATTCTCAAAGTTGGAGAAAAAAAAAACTAGACTGGAGACCAATTTAAACTTTAGTTTGACATAAACGACTATTCACTTTTTTACCTACGGTAATTGAAGAGAAAAAAAAACCCAAACTTGAGGGACATTTCGCAGGTTTTTTTTTTTATTCCAATCGATATTCCCCGTCTCGTTAAAAAGTTGGTTTCAATAAAAAAAAAAAAAAAAAAGAAAACAGGTGATACAGAATGTGTGACAGCAAGTTTTGCGATGACTACAGCAGAAAAAGCCTCTCGATATCACAAAAATTGAGGTCTCGTGAATAAAAATAGAATAGCTTCCGACTGCTAGAAGAATAAATAAATCTCGAATTTTCTGTTGACATTGACTATTTTCCATTATTATTTTCGCCATATATTATAATGATCAAGAGCAACTCATTTTCATAAGATAATTTATATACGTATGTTTATATATATTTAAGATTAATCAATTAATTTGATTTTTTCGGATCTAGGAAAAAAATGGTTTTGGATGTGAAGATGAAGGTAGAATATGAAAAATTTCAGGTTAGCCAGATATACCTGCTGGACGTATTTCTTGAGGGTGAATTCACGGGATATGGACCAGCAGTAGCTGCATTCGGAATGGAAACAAAGCCCTTCGAGAGAGTAGATCCGATGTCTCGTCTATTTCCCAAAGTAACAAAATGTACAATTCATACATTTGGCTCTTCAGGATCCCAACAGACACACGATGCACTCTGCATTCTACCACTTAACGTTGTCAATGAAAAAACATTTGTATTCGTATGGTTTTGGCTTGTATTCCTCGCGTGCATTGGCTCACTCAATCTCTTGTACAGAATTATTCAATTCACTCATAAAAAATCACGTATTTATATTCTACGATCTAACACCCGTGTTTTAACAAATGCACAAGTGGAGGTTGTCGTTGGTGAATTGAATTTTGGTGATTGGTTCCTACTTCATCAACTCGCCCAGAATGTCAATCCCATTGTCTACAGGGAACTCGTCAGTGAACTTGCTACCAAGTTCTCGTACAAATATTATCCAACTGTCGTGTAAATCGCGGGGGGATTGAAATAATATTTACTGACTGCAAAACCCCATACTGTTATCAACCAATCCCTTGGGATATTTTGTGTTGTTTGTAATCAAATTGGTAATAACAATCCTATTGCCATTTAATGTCAGCGAATGATGTGTATTTTCATTATGAATAAATTTATTGCTCAAACAATCAATAATTATAATATTAATAATTATAATTAATCAATAATTAATATCTCACGATAAATAAATTATGCGGAAAATATTGCCAAACATCGCATCTGCGGAATTAAAAGGGCTGTCCATGGCATTTTAGCATGGATTTTTATCACGGCTGGTTCGCGACATATCCGCTGATAAATATTGACAACTGTCATGCAGACTGTCAACGATTTTCAAAATTGAATATCTCACAATCAAAGAAAAATATTCAAAAATGCTGAAGAAACTTTTTAAAAATTTCTCCTTAACCGGCGACATTGCGCACTCATTCCCTCTGTCAATAAATTCCCTCTCCCTGTTGTCAACTCTTTATTTCTGTCAAAACCACAACCCTAACCTCAAAATCCATCAAAACAAGATCCAAAATTCTCGTCAACTCGTCCTGTAAGTAATAATAAAAAGAACCACCCCCTAGTAAAAAAAAATCGGCATTCATCTGATTTAGCATCTAAAATTTCAGACACTCGTTCTTTTATCCACCCCTTCCCAAAAATCCCCCCAAAAAAATGGAAAACCAGGTATGGAAAAAATCCTCATTTCCCAAAACAAAGTCATCGATGATCGATGATTATTTCAAGCAACTGAGCTCCACTAAACAAATGAAAAATTTGCCGTTTCCGAATTCGCACTCAGAGAACTTGTCGAAAAAATCGGTTTATCGTCCGGCGAAAAAATCCAAAAAGCACTCAAAATTGAAGAAAAGCTCGATATCCCTGATCGTCAGTCACTCAAACAAATCAATCGAAATCCCTTCCTCCCCGAAAACCCACGATAAAACCAATGATTTTGATAACCTCTCAATAAATCACGAAATTACGCAACCCCCGAAAATTTCCAAGAAAAAAAATAACGCAAGTATTCATGACTCTCAAAAAATTCCTGAAGAATCGAGAGTGCAGCGAAAATATTCATGGGAAGATGTGAAAAATTGGATTCCCCCATCTGAGAGAAAAACCCGGAGAATTAACGAGTGCAAAATTAAATATTCCTGGGAAATAATCGGAGTCGAGTCTCAAACATCAGAAATTCTCATAGAAGATTTCAAGAAATTGACGGAATTGAAAGATGCTAATTGTCCCAGAATCAAGTACTCGTGGGAGGTGATTGGTACAGGAAATCAAACATCTCTTCATGATTTGACGATTGATAGTGATTACTGGGTGGGAAGGGTTGTCATTGGATCTGGAAAAAATATCACCAGGGCATGTAATTCATCTCGTTATTATGAATCTAACAAAATTCGATTTGTCTGTAATACAGGGACACAATGTACAGCTGATAAGGGAGTGTATGCAGATCTTATGGATTGCACTGTCAAGTATTCATGGCAGAACTTGATGAAAGCTTATAACATAAAATAAAAAATAAACAATGGACATTCCTGAGGATGAAATTCTCGACGAATTAAATTCAACTCTAACCGAGGAGTCTCAACTGTCGGAAATCTCCCCAGAGAAACCGGAAACCACCTCCGAAGATGCAGAGCGAGTGCTGCATCATCGGGAATTGCGGAGAAAGCTTAAATCGACGGAGGAGAAGATAGATAAATATATGCTGAGTATTTCAGAGATTTCCAGGAAATCTTGGGAGGTGAATCTCGGGGCGCTCAATGAGAAATTAACGAGTGATGACGGTTACTCGCAAAAAACTATTCACAATATTCAGGAATATATCCAGAAATTGGAGGAACAGTTCAAGGAGTTGGACAAAGCCGATACCCAAGTGATTATATTATTTTACGGAATCTATTTGATATGAATTGAGATTAAAGTGAATTATTATATTTTTTTTTGGTGCAGGTGATGACGATTACAAGTCGAGTACTCCAAGAAATCGACGACTCGTACGATAATTTGATATCGATAATTGCCAAAGAGATAAATAAAAAACGAGAACTGCTGAAGCTGGAAGCCAAAGTATTCGAGAGGGAGAGTCTCGTCCCTTTGAAAGCATGCCGAGAAGAAATCCACAAACAGATATTGTGCACAAAAAAATCAATATCGTCAATTGAAACTAATAAAAATGAACGCATGAGTCATGTGGAGCGTCACGAGTTGTTGAGAGCAGATAGAAAAATTGGAGGAATACCAGCAGTGCCTTCCCTGGAGGAGCTCCCCTTCTTGAACTTCAAATTCCCATCAAAGCCACAAGTCAAGGAGCTCTTAAATAATGTCCACAGCATGGGAACGATCTTACGACTGGGTCCAGTGCAGATAACAGAAATAGAAGAGAAACCTGGCTCGGTATTCGTCAAGTGGGGGATCTCAGATCCGGAATATGCCTTTGAGGATCACATTTACATACTCCAAAAGGCACTCGGAGAGGTCCTCGATCCCACCTCCGATGATTTTATCACTATCTACGAGGGGGATGAAAACTACTGCTTCGTTAAAAATCTTGAGATCAATCGTTCGATTACTCTAAGAGTTGGGGTTCAATCGTTAGAGTCTGCGTGGAGCTCTACGAGAATTACCAAGACATCAGTACCAAATTACGGTTGGTCCCTCGATAATGAAGATTATATGATCACGAATAATGCAACAGTTGCCGCGAAAATTAACGATCAGGCGAGTGCGGTATTTTCTCGAGACGCTCTCATCGACGCCAATCAAATAATTGAATTCAAAGTAATGAAATTAGCACAGACGAATATTACAATCAGCTGTTGCAGCACTGGAGTAATTTGTCGTTAATTAGTTTCTAGATGTTCCTGGTCAGGTGTTGAGTGATGAAGGAATTGCTCTGGTATCGGAGCCTGGGGGAAAGGACGATTTTCTGCGGCGCAGGGGCTCTTTGATGATCACAGCACGAGGAAAAATACTGATGGATGGGGAGGAAAAGCTTATGCAACTTCCTCCAGTCCATTCTGGTGCGAGAATAATATTTACTATCACCAGGAGGGATGAGGAAACTCTACGGGTTAATATTGAATGCTCTGACAAAGCTGTCACTTATTACTGGAACGTTGAGACTCCACTTTACTTCGCTGCCAGATTTTTACAATCGAAGAAGTGGAATTTGATGGTTAAATAGATTTTTATATCGATGGTTATGGATTTGTTGATCGGAGCTTGATTGATTGTTTACGTTGTCAATGGAAAATCAATACGTATTTTGCTTTTTATTCAATTTTATTTATTAACATATTTTCGGATCGCTACAAAATTTTTTTTGTACATCAGCATTTTTATCCGCCTTGAATTAATCATGGGATTAATTCTGAGGAACCTATTTTTTATAATAATTTTTCGGTATAAATTTTTCGATTCCCAATGTATTTACAAAATATTTATACATGAGAACTTTTACTTGACTCCAATTAGTTTTTATTAATCATAGATAATGATAATGTTGTAATTGTTTCGTGTGAAAAGAATTAAAAATCGTTGGGTTAATACAAAAAAGTGGGATTTATTCGTTTCGTATTATTTACAAAGTGAATCTATTGGGGAAATAATTCCCAAGTCATTGAAAATATTTCTAAAATTATCCAGAACAACCACGGCATCCACAGTGGATGCACTCGACAATTCTTCCTTCTTCTAATTTTCCTTTGGGCACACGACATATGCAATTCGTTCCAAAATTCGTGTCTCTTGTTTGAATACACCGCAAACAGCAGAGATTTTCGTATCCCACCTTCTTCCACTTAGCAATGAGATTTTTGTCAGCTATTTTCTCATTCAGGCAATAGTCATACAATTCTGAGAAAACAATAAATATTAGATAATCAACATTAAACATTCACTCACAAAATCACGTGAATTAAAAAAAAAAGCTATTAGTTATGTTTTTTTTTGGATTGATAAATTATTAATAAAGGCTTCGTGAAAGATATCTCGTCTCACCTCTGCTGATAGCTTTTCTCCTGTAAAATAGGTCATAGATGTATCTAGATTTTTGATGGTGTATTTTAAAAATTGGCCAGAGAGACTCCTGTTTTCGTTTGCCTTCATGGGGCTCGGTTTCCGCTGAAATTTAAAAAAAATTAATAGATCCACACGAAGAACATCAACTAAGAGATTAAATAATTGTTGTTCAGAAACTGGAGCCCTACCTTCTCTCATTTTTTGCTCCAATTCTTCCAGAGTCGGTTCGATTAATTCCCAACCCTCTGGGGGTGATTTTTTACTTCTCCTCACCTTCGGCATCTTCAAACACGAGTTTTAATATTGAATTATCACCTGATGAACGAAAACAAACGTCAGCAACTGAAAACAGACGCCAGGGAAAATTTAGGTTATGTGACACGAACTCCGTCGTACGTCATTTAATTAACAGGCTGGACACCACAAAAAAAATGCCCATAAAATTTTAAGTAAATAATCCCCAAGATAAATAAAAAGCGAGAATGGAATAAAGCGCAATAAATATAGTAGATAAACAAATGATTTATTTTCTGAGAAAAAATCTCCCGATTTATTTTACATCGAGAAATTTACATTGAAAATAATTCCAATAGCGTAGCCTAGGTCTGGAGCAATTCCTCGTATATGTCTTTGTCTGTCTGCAGGAAGAGACAGAATATCACGCGATCGACCTGAGGAAGAAAATTCATATGAATAAATTATATTAACAGTAATGATTAGTGAGTGAAAATCGATGATTCACTGTACCTTCTCTCGATTTTCTTCGAGGAAAGTTTTGACGGTGTTGATGGCGATTTCAGCAGCTGGTTTCTGAGGATATCCATAGACTCCAGTCGATATACAAGGAAAGGCGATGGTCTTCAAGCCATTATCTGTAGCCAATTGCAGACAATTACGATAACACTCTCTCAATTTCTCTGGTTTTTCTCCTCGAGGTCCAACCGTGTGAATGATATCTACCATAAACGGTAAAAAGTATAGATTCCAAATTTTATTGATAGAAATGATTGAATTCCTATTGAATCGTACGTTTAGCTGGCAGTTTATATCCTCCAGTGATTTTAGCTTCTCCAACCGAACAACCATTCAGTGTAGCACATTCTTTCTTGAGATTCGGTCCAGCTGCCCTGTGAATCGCTCCGTCCACTGAAAAGCAATTCTCGCGTAGAATTCTCTTGGGAAATATTCACACGTATCGACTGAAATTGGGAAGAGTACCTCCTCCACCTCCCATCAGGCTCGAATTCGCGGCATTGACAATTGCGTCGATTTCCAAAGATGTTATGTCCCCCTGCCATATTGATAATTTATTTGCTAGATCAGAAGATACTCTAACCCCTTTATTCTTCTGGAAATAATTAGGGAGAGTCAGGATCTGCTCCAATGTTGTGATATCCGATTTATAATGCTGCATCTTTTCCTCTCTCGACATTTTCAAGTATTTTTCTATAATTATTAAATTGTAAATAAACAGGAATAATTGAACGAATAAAAAACCTGAATATGTTTACCCTTTTCCTCTTTAAATGACATTATGGATGACCCTCTAATATAATTACTCAACCGAAGAGCAAATCTTTTCCTGATTTTCGTTGAAAAAATAGACGTGTCAATCCCCTGAAATTTAAAAATTATTTAGGATGAGTTGTTTCTGTGGATCACTCAATAATTCTTACTCTGAGTATTATCATGATGAATCACTCCAAGAGAAAAGAACTTACAGTACAAAAGAATGAATTTCAATACGATGGAATTTTTTCACGACTTATCTCAACAGAAAACGCATAGAAGCTCGATAAATTCTATTTTCTGGGAAATAATTGCAGCCGGTGTTACGAAGCTCAAGAATCAGCTGAGATCTTCTTCTTCTAATTTTTTAGATGGCCACTGATTTCAAGTCTTGCAGCCGTTGTTCCCAATGAAGGAACGTTGCATGAGAATGGGTGGGAGATGGTAAAGTGGGGAATAAGGTATCGCAGGAAAAAAGCGGGGTTCATCTGAGGTAGAGACTAGACTAATTCCCACGTGAGAGGAAATCTAGATGAGAGAGATGTGAATTCCATTGAGGGAGAGGGTTGAGTAAAATTCACGGATTTCGTAGATTATGAGAGGTAGATTTTTGGCTTGAGAAATAGGATAGGGCTGTCAGAACGCTGAGGGAGTCCGAGATCAGCTGAGATCGATGCAGTGCAGGTGCTTGTTGCAATTTTTGCCACCTATCGGTACCGCGAGTATTTGAATTTCGAAAATAAATGATCAATTGTTCCGGATTCATTTGTTAGTAAAATAGCAAAAAAAAAATATACATATTGCCTGAAATAGTTTGATTTCCCCAAAAAACAAATACTTAATTAATTTAACTTGATTAATTCTGGTGATTCTTCTTTGGAGAATCTTATTAATCAGGGGGGAAGATTGACGTTTAGGGCAAAATTACACGTAATAGATTTTATGTAGATTTTATTGATACATAAGAAAAAATTGTAAGATTGAACCTTATGTTAAGGTATTAGCATAGCATCAGTGGTATACAAGATGGATTAATCTGTATTTTTTTTCTTTCTTTAAATCAAAAATAAATGGAATTACAAAATTATTCTTCAGGTCCGTTTTCCCAGTGCTTTTTGCGTCGCTTCCGTTTTCTTCTGAGCAGCCTGCTCCTTCTGCTTTTTCTCGTCTTCTCTTCGCTTAGCGGCCTCTTCCCTCTGTTGCTTAATTATAGCTAATCGCGCTAGATCTGCACGTGCCTCATCCGTTTTACCAGCGGCATGAAGCTTTTGATAATTCGCGTAGGCACGCTGTTTTTCTAATTGTTCCCTGGAATGAGTCTCGATATTAATTAATTTCGATGTGAGGAGTGTGTACGAGCCTTGCAATTGATTAATCACCGAAGTTTTCTATTGATATCTCGGTCGGAATTTAATTCAACGGTATTGTTTACCTTTCTCGCCGTGATAATTCCGGCTTTGACGATTGTTGTGCTAAATCATTATTCAACTGTGAAAGTTTCTTCGTTTTTTTCTGAACTCTGTTTGGATTTTCCACTTCAATTAAAGCCTCAACTCCCTTCGCCTTTCCCTGAATCAATTTAATGTTTATTGAACACTTTAAAAACTCGATATACACGGATGGAGAAATAATTTTAAAGAAGAAATGAAGAAATCGACAAAAATTTTAAATTCGTTTAGGACTCAATCGCTGATTTTGGCCTTACAACGATTCTTTCCAAAATCGAAATAAATAGCGAAATCGAGGGAATGACGAAATTTAAAAGATGATCACAACATCCTCACCTCATTCTCCGACCCCGAGGACTCGGATTCACTCTCACTTTCAGATTCTGAGGGCTGTTTTGCCTTGCTGGGCTTCTTCGGTGGCTCTTCCTCCTCCTCACTCGAAGAATCCCCGCCTTTTTGTTGCTGCAGACCCAAATAATCACTTAAAAAATGAAAGAAAACGCAATAACTTAACCTCCGAGGCACTCACCCTCCACCTTCTCTTCTCCTCATCAGCTCTCCTCTGCTCCTCAAGCTCTTCAGGATTCGTGAAATGACGATTACGTCCCTTGTGATTAACGAATTTACCTGGAACAATAAACAAAAACCATTGAATAACCGATAAAAAGAGTTCAGGGTCAGCCCGACATTGAGAAAATTCACATTTTCAGGTGTACGAAAACGTGGGCTTCACATAAATATTCTCCTACAATAATCCCCAGAATATTGTACCAATTTTTCGTGTCAACTCACCACGGGGCATTTTTACTCGAATAAATGTATTTAGCAAAAAGGGATGAACACAACCTTTTCGGTTGGAAAAAGGGCTCTTGTTTGTAGACGATTTTTCGGAATTATCTTGACGTGAGGCAGGTACGTCAAGTCATCTACAGGGATATTTTTTTTTTTCACTTTACGGACGTGAAATTCGTGAAATTGGGGGCAAATTGATGGATTGGTTAGCCTGTAATTCAAACTTTCATTCAATTTTACGCATTTACCAAAAAAAATTCCAATATCATCATAATTATGATAATTGCAACTATATTAATTATGATTATTCAATAAGATCGACTGTAAAAGGCAATCACAAGTCGATTTAAGGTTCAACATGTTCGTCGATAATTTCGAGTTCTTCCTTATTCATACGAATAATTCTCCAGATATGTTCACACGCCACCCCTAGGAATATCTGGTTTTATTATCTGCATAAGCCCCTAGAAATCTTCCCTATAATCTCTCCCCAAAGTTTTCCGAATTTTCTGAAAAGTCTCGCATCCAGGCCATCCAGGCACACCGCCATATTCTCAACAAAATAGCAAGGCGTTTTTGCCACGCCATTATAAAAACTATTTTTCTATAAAAAAAGGTGTTCATTCAGTGTAAATCAGTGGATAGATCGAAGAGACATTGATAATAACGGTTATTTAGAAAAGTCAGTAAAGCGCATTAGGTGTTTGTGAAGCTGTCGACATTTTGACGACGACGGGAATTACACGAGGTGAAATAACACAAAGAAAATTGCAATAGCCATTTAATAATTGTGAAAGTTAATTGTTTTGTTTTTAAATAAAACATTTCAGGAATTGAGAAAATTGTCAGTTCAGCATCTTCATTTTTGCTATGAATTGGGTATCGAATTGATTTCTTAGTATTGAGTGATATTTAAATGATATTTCCAGGTTGATTAGTAAATGGAAAACTAAAATGTACAACAATATTGACCCATGGGAGCCGGGCTACGGTCCGGATAATCGTCGTCACGGAGATTACGACTACCGAGGTGATTATCGTCCAAGCAGATCACCAGATTACCCTGATCACCGTGACTTGGATCACCGTGATCGTGATCCACACAGGAGTCCAGGAACGGACTACAGGAATCATCGTCGTGATAGAGATCGTGATCGGAGCAGAGATCGACGTGATCGTAGCAGAGAGGAGCGTTATCGAGAGAGAGACGATCGGTACAGCAGGGGAAGGGACCGGGAGTCATCGGAACGTGATCGTGATCGTGAGAGGGATAGGGACAGGGACAGGGACAGGGACAGGGACCGGGATCGAGACAGGGATCGTGATAGAGAGCGTTCACGACGTGACAGAGATCGTGAGAGGGATCGGGATAGACGGGGCAAAAGGGATGATCGAGATCGTGAACGGGATGATGATCACAGTCGTGAGAGCATTGAGTATGATCACGATCATGGACGTGGGTATGGATCGTCGATGGAGGGTGTTCACTACAAATCCCAAACACCAAACAACACCATCATGATTCGTGGTTTAGCTCAACATATTACGGAAAATGATGTACGTCATCAACTCAACTTTTTTTCCTTTTTTTTAGAAAATAGCATTCTCAATTATTTATTTGCAGACATCCCTCAAAATCCATCCGGGGTTGACGATTTTTTGATATCTCATATTCTTTTATTAATCTTACGAATGCGAGTTTATGATTTCTTTTTGTGAATTCAGAAGGAATAATTTACAGTGGAAAATGAAATTTCCTTTTGCTCTTTACCACTCGGCTTAAACTCAAGTGTTCAAACGTTGCATAACAATTTATCTTGCACCGATATTATTATTCTAACGTGTGTGATCATAGGTACGTCAAGACATCTTAAACTGTGGACTCATGCCCAAGGACATTCGGCTGATACGAAAGAAAGATACAGGTAATTAACATCATTGTATTTCGTTGACGAAATTACCTCATCACCTTATTTTCGTATTTCCTGTTTTTATTTATTTAAACATTTGGTAAAAGCAGAAATACCTGATACATCATCTAATTCACTCGCTATCATACTTTAGTCGATTCAATGAAACTGTAATTCAGCTGTGATTGAAGGTAAGTCAACGCAGGGGAAAAAAGGAAAGTAACAGAAAGACAGAGAGAAACATTGATCAGTAAAAAAAAACAGAACTAGTTCACTTTTTGTTTCAATTTTGTTTCTGATAAATAACTGAAGTATCGAAAAAGCAAATAAATAAATAAATAAATAAATGAATGAATGAATAAATCTAAAAGAGCGTTGAAAAAAGAACGAGAGAAGCTGGAGAAAAATGTATTGAACAAAACAATGCGAGTACAATGAAATCGAAGAGTAACTCTTCGTTAAAAGAATAATACTAAACGATCTGTCTCAATGGTTGGTGCTGTGACAAAAATTGCCTGCCCTCTCAGAAGTAGAGAAATACCCAGGCAATAAACGTGGATTAACACTGGATATGTGTGTATTTTGCTCTGTATAGGTGCTTCGCGAGGTTTTGCATTCGTCGAGTTTAACGCGACACAGGAGGCCGCACGTTGGATGGAGATGAAACAGGTAGAAAAAAGAAGTTTTGGCAATTGGGTTGAGCTGATGTTTGAGCATTCAACCTCAACAGCAACAACAACACTGTTGTTAGGCCCACCGACGCCCCGTGGCGACAGTGGGGGGCAAAGCAGTTCCCAGTTGGCCTTCTACTCCCCCACACATGGCCATTATGCTGTGACCATCTGTTTCAAAGGCTACTTTAATCTACAATATCAATTATCTCAATTATTCAACCTGGGGCCAATCCCTAAATATTCACAAGATATATCATTATCAAATCCAACAATATTCCAACACCAATCACATTCCCTTGTACAACCGATAAAACAAGTCGAGGAGCTATAACGTATCACCATCAATAATTCCAGCTGTATCATCTCAGCATCATTTTATTACTTCCATTATCAACTTCCATAATCAACTCTTGATTTTTTTTTTCGATATGAATAATTATTCGTGATTATTCTTGGCCGATATAGCTCCGCTATACTTATTCGGTTAGTCAGTACAAAATTCAATATTGATGAAACAAACTGCTCTGAATTGATGAAGTGAAGTAGATAATAAAGATAATTACCACCGATGAGAAGAGGGGGAGAGGGAGAGGGAGGATTTTATGGAGAATGGAAAAGAGGCCTTCGGAAGACCCTGGACATGATAACACTTAAATTCTCTGTTTCAGGGGGTACTGATGCTACAAGAGCAGTATCGAGCGCTCATGCAGTACAGCATACCAAAGGATTGTCACATGGATAAACCGCCATCGAAAAATAGTCAGGATTGGCATTGTGTTAAGGTGTTTTTCAATTTATTCCATAATCATCGATAACACATCGAAATTTCACATTAAAAAAATTTATCACACAGTGTGGAGCCCACAATTTCAAAAGACGCGAGACTTGCTTCAAGTGTTCAGCATCTCGTGCAGAGAGTGAAGAAGGTGGTGAGGGTAGCGATGAGATAAGTCCCCACCCCACAAATACAGTTTTGCTGCGTGGCCTCGATGTATTAACAACCGAGGACTCAGTCCTCCAAGCAATGAATAATTCTTCGGCAATGCCAATTCGCAGCATCAGAATCGGTCGTGACACCTTGACAAATACATCACGCGGTGTTTGCTACCTCGAAATGGCCAATGTCGTTGATGCAATGTATCTCCACACCGAATTGACCAAACAGGGGCTCATGGTGGACGGACGAAAGGTAGAGATAGCATACTGCAAGCTTCATCAGGTCAACAGCACTGGTCTCTGGAAATCCAATGATAATCAACCACAGCGTTATACCTTGGACGATGTTGCTCAAATAGCTGAATACAGCGCCAATCTCTATGCCAAAACACCAGCGCAAAAGGCGCATTATATTCAATATTACACTCAGTACTATCAGAATCAGATAATCCAGGGAACCGCTATAACTTTGCCATCGTTGAATCAAACTGATAGGGTCAATGCTGCTGCTGCTGTTGCACAATCAGCGATACAGCAGCTTCAAGCTTCGAGGAAATTAGGAGATGCTGAGGAGATGAAAGCCAGACCAACTCCAACTGCTCCTACCAGCACTTCATTGGCCAGTGGACGAGTACCTGCGCATGCCAATGATGGCAAGGTTTATTGTGAGTCGTAGCATTGGATATTTGAAATTCAATTGAATATTTGTCTCTGCATCATTGCAATCATTAGATAATCTGTATAATTTGTTCAACTAATTCTCCAGTGAAGTACTAAAAATGAATTTGATACAATTATTGGAATCGAGTAATTTTTTATGGGTTCAGTGGTGAATTATATTGACGTTATACATAAGAAGTAGTTATATTTCCATTTAAAAGCGATTTCATATTCTCCATTCGCAGCTGTTCCGGATGTGAGTACTTACCATTACGACGAGTCATCAGGTTACTACTACGATCCCTCCACCGGTCTATATTACGATCCCAATTCTCAATACTATTACAATAGCCACATGCAGCAATTTCTCTACTGGGATGCAGAATCATTCTCTTATCAACCAGCAAAGTCGAATCTTCCTGTTCAAGGAACGACAAATCCTTCCTCGACATCTCTAACTGTCACAGAAACTCAGAACTCCTCCATCACCAATAACTCCATTTTAAATTCTCAAGAGGCAAAAGATGACGACAAGAAGAAAGATACAAAGCAAGATAAAGTCAAAGTGGCTAAAAAAATAGCCAAAGACATGGAGCGTTGGGCGAAAACTCTGAATCAGAAAAAGGAGAATGCCAAGAGCAATTGGAATGTCGAGTACTCGGTGGGAGAATCCTATCAAGGGGGTAGTGGTGCTGCTGATGCTGGGTATGCAATTTTGGAGAAAAAATCAGTTGCCAATTCTTATCCTGAGGAGGAGGACACTGGCAACAATGGCCTGGTAGCAGCGTACGGCGGTGGAAGTGATACAGAAGAGGAGATTGAGGATGTTGGACAGGAGGAGAGACAGCACACTGATTGGGTTAAACTGGCCTGCCTCCTCTGCAAACGCCAGTTTCCAAGCAAAGAAGGACTTGTTCGTCATCAACAGCTGTCAGATCTTCACAAGCAAAATCTTGAGAGCTGGTACCAAGTCAGGGGATTGGACCCCAATGATCCCCAGCAGAGAAATAATAAATACAGGGACAGGGCTAAAGAGAGAAGAGCTAAATATGGTGAGCCAGAGCCACCACAACCCAATAAACTCAAAGAAAAATATCTCAAGACAAGAGTTGATGAGGCACCGGTTAATTATGAGGAACCAACTAGAGCTGGAATTGGCTCGGATAATGTTGGTAATAAACTGTTGCAAAAAATGGGTTGGAGCGAGGGAATGGGACTGGGAAAAACAAATCAGGGAAGGACTAGTATCATTGAAGCCGAGAGGAGAGTCCCTGCTGCTGGGCTTGGGGCTAAATCATCATCTTATAATGCAATGCCTGGTGATACGTACAAAGATTGTGTGAAGAAGATGATGTATGCTAGGTATCAAGAATTATCTGATTCGTAATTATTGATGAAATGTAATAATTACTCATTACTAAATCATCGTGGAGTGATTTTTGGGGGTAATTTCGAGGGACCCTTAGAGGGAAGTGACGCAATGATGATTAACTATTTTATATAACGGGAAATTGAAGACACGTTCCCGTTTGTGTACAATAAAAAAAGGTGCATCAATCGTGAGTCCAAGGATGTAAAAAGACATGATTTTTTTGAGGAGTCAATCGATTATCGTGTAAATAGTTCCAGGCATCACCGCTTTCAATATTCAATCCACAAATTCCTCAGTGATATTTGAGAAATTGAAAACATAATCGATCAGTATGTAATTGAAAATGGAGACATCGAGTTTCAGAATTATGTGTCATCGGATAACTATAGGATAATGTCAGAGGAAAAATCATTCTCAATTATTGATTTTTCTCGTTAATTTTTTGTAATAAATTCTGTCATGAGGAAAATTATCCCGATTATTAATGCTATTTTATTTTTTTATTTGAGGGCTTTGTGTATGAAACCACTGAGCTGAGCACGCATAATAAAAATACCTGCGGATTGCTTGTAAATTCATTTATTTGATCATTCAACTACCAACAACAACAATAAAAAAAAACATTTGATCATTGCTTTCTTACCATTTCTATATAATATCAATTAATACAGATCCCCTTTCATCTGAAAAAGCTTCAAATCCAAAAGTGAAAAATTGGAAAACTTCTAGAGATTGATGCAACTATCTTTAAGACGATTAACTTCAGAGAAAAATTACGGAAAAAAAATGTTTATCATGGGACAATCTCTTTAGTGAAACTATAACTAAATTTTTTTTGCCTAAACTGTGAGGATTTTTTAATTAATATTTGATTGAGGCATCTCTCGTTGAATTTCTCTACACCTCTTTTATGCCAAAGATATGTATTTTTTGTTAGAGAAATTAATTTTGCACAGATTCATACAAGGATATCCAACTGACAAATAACGAAAATTGATTAATAGTATCTTACGCAACAAGTGCGTAATGGATTTCTTGGCTCGTGGGAGGGTTGTAACATGAGCCGAGGGCGAGTTTTACTATCCCACGAGTGAAAGAATCCATAACGCACGTGTTTCATACACTATTTTATGTCATTGGGCCCGTAATCTCGCTTACGGGCACCTATGGAATAAAATATTCTAATTTTTGGTATGAATTCACACTCGCTACAATTGAAATAAATATTCTTAGACTAGAGACTTCATCTTTCAAACTATAAACGAGATTATCGACTAGAAAATTTTAAGTGTAGCAATTAAAATTACAATTAAGATTGAAATCCTCAGGTCTAAACAATTAAATCGTTGTAAAAAATCGGGTAGCATACAGCCGATCGAATGGAAGCTCTGCTAACAAATAAAATTCGAAACAAAAAGTTCTAAACACTTGGATATCCTTGAGGACTTGAAACCACAAATAATTGAGCTACCGTGACACTGCACTAAACGCCAGGTATTGTCTAGATAATGAATCTACATATTCCATCGTTGAACATGTTAAACCTTCTACAACACAGCAGATAATATATCGCCACATTCAACAAAAGGCATTTGATATGCAGTTCGATATACAAATTTTCCTCTACAATTTAAATGAAATGATTCTCGATCTTTTCATCGACTGCTAAATTATTCAAACATCGACCAATATCCAGGAGTAGAGTGGACGAAGTTGATGATCTAATACTTTATAATCTAGATTATTGAGTCCATCAGAATCATATCTCCTTGCACTATTTTCTAAACGCTCAAATCTTGCGCTGCTTGGTGGCTCCTTTTTATGGGTCAGCATATAGTATTGAGCGATATCAGGACCAAAACGAATAACCTGTGATTAAAAAATTGTTAATTTAACAATCTGGTATTCCAGAATTGTCGCTACAAAATTTTCAAACGACTGCGTGCAAAAATTATGATTTGGCTTATCACTGCTTGCGCATTTTTACGATTGCATTGACTAAGAATTCACGTACATGTATTGGAACTAACCGATAAATTCCCGAGAAACAATGAAAGATCATAAATAACTCGATAAAAACTGACAGGGGAAAAAAACTAGGAATTTGCCCACCTGGAGACCCCGAGATTGCAGTCTACTGTAGAAATCATCATCCTCGCCTCCCCAGCCATAAAAAACATTGGAAAATCCATTAACCCATTCGAATTGCCTCCTAGTAAGGGCAATAGCTCCACCAAATAATCCAGTATATGGTAAATTGTATCTGAAGGTGTTAACACTCGAGCTCATGTGTCTGGGCATCTTGGTACAAGCATAAATATTATCTGGATTTTGTGGTATCAAGTCAATGTCTTGAAAGATGAAGCAGTGGAAATCATTGACTTTCGTTGCCTCTTTGTACCCGACGTTGAATAATTTAGCGCGATTGAATTCGCGTATAGGACTCTGCTCGATAACAAATATTCGATAATCCAGATTTTGTGATTGCAGAAAGGGATGTATATAATTCATAAAAATACTGAGCTGTGCATGTCTATTTCTAAACGGCAAAATAATAGCAACGTTGAATAAAGGATGGCAATTAAGTGGTCTCCACTGTCCTCCAGGTAAAATTCCAAGTCTTCTGGCCATCGCTACTGGATCTTCCCTCGGGTGTTCCTCTGGATATGACAATTCCGAAAATTTCCTCCCAGTTATCGATATCACACATGAATTATCCCGAGGATCGTATGACTTCTCCAGTTCATCGTGAATATTTTCTGTCTTTATAAAATTGTAATGCGATGCAAATCTCCCGGGATGGAGGCAATAACACAGGACTAGTATTATCGTGACTAAATACGACAACCCACGAGCATAAGTGCTTAAAAATGCTATGAACATTTTAATGAAGTTTTGAAAATTGCGAGACATCGTAACCTATATCAGCCGCATTTGATTGTGATAAATACGTGAGGGGTATCACCTTAATGTCAATTATTCAGTCTAATGTCAAGTGGCAACATATTCGCTTCATTTCTCGAGAGATGTTCTCTTTGGAGGCAAAATTTATGTCACAACTGCACTTTTGTTTGATTGTTTATGTCAATGAAACTGATTCCCACAACACTTCGCCTCGACCACTCGTGTGAGACTGCAAGACTCTCATGTCCATGTCTTCTGATGCTTCTGATCCATGATGATCGCCAAAGAGGATTGACTGAAGTAGAGGCTGAGTTCTGGGGGTTTGAGTGACCCCAGCGGCATCGTAGTACTGCACCCCAAGAGAGGGAGGGCGCAACACGCAATG